ACACGCCTATACAAAAACACGAGGAAGTACGTGCTTGTTATAAAAACCAATAAAATCAATGGATCAACGTGGCACTCAAGAAAAGTCCCTAGTCACGCTATCCTTTGCTGTCCTTAAACGATCATCATTCGGACGGTGAAGAGCGCATGACTAAACCCAAATACCAATGCTACAGTTCAATAACGCGCTACCCGAAGGGCATGATGATTGGTTTCATGCCATACCTAATAGAAGTAACATGAATACAACCGATCTTGTTGCCAGCCTGATCCCTATCGAAATCGATTCAGAGTTGATCCGATTAAACCATTGCAAGTCCACTGACCCTGATGAAGTTACATTTTGCATTCTAAACGAATATGCTGTCTTCCTTTACGGTGTACTGTTTGCAGCATAGTATTTCTAACTGCTCGAGCATATCCTCGATTACTGCTGTACCAAATAAAGCCTCTATAGAAATTCCGTCCCATTGGCTGCACCTCAGTTGTTTTGAAAGCAAACATTGATAAATTTCCTTTCTACATGCGGCGTTAACCCTCGTACAATTGAACTCCCGGTCAGCCATTGACACATCACAGGGGCCGTACATATTCACTGCTGCCCTCATCACTAGACATGGTGCAAGGCTTTAATTTATCCCCTTTTTCCATTTTCCGTCCACATTTCCTTCATTGTTGTGACCCATGCTTCTGCTATTGTTGAGCATGCAAACAATACAATAGTCGGACTGTTCTACCTCAACCCCTCATCTCAGACCACGCTACAAGATGACAGGTCAGAACAAGTGGTGAGGCTCACGTTTTATGTTTCCCGTCTTGAATCACTTTCTATCCCCGTCTATCTCATAAGGTCCGCTGTTTTTAATTGCGCTTTGCCTCACTGATTCCATGCGTTCCCTGTTAGCTTCACTGATATTTTAACGTGCATCACAAACTCATTTCTCGATCCCTCCAGTTTGTCGGTATGTAGTCTTATACCACGGGAACATCTGGTACAGCATGCGGTGGCTCACCAACTCAAATCTTGTAGAACATTATCCAAGAAGATCTTATCTGATGGTCACCATCCCCTATATCCTACTCTTAGTCAGTGCCTTTTTCATTCATCCACCCGTTTCAGCTAGAAACTGAGAAAGACACGCACAGAGGCTGACAGGCCCTCTACTGGTCCGTAGCTGGTTACTAGGTTACTCATAAACCATGAACTCACTACAGAAAATCTGGGCAAAATGCCAACCTAAATTGATGAGAAATACCATGATATGTCATTGGTTAGCTGATACTGCTGTTCGGTTTTACCTATTTTAATTGCTGTATTAGATTTCTCATTTTTTATTTTTAATTGCTGACACACCGTGGTTATGTGAATGCTGAATACCCATACATTTCGAGGTGAATAGAGCGATTCTTCGACTTGACTTGATTTGACCGAATATCACTCGCATACCGAATGTCTCAAAAAATAACTGCTTGACTGACGATCAACAGATGCATGACAGCTATGTTTTAATGTATACTTACTTACATGTTAAAATGTTCGATCACTTTTGGCGATGGTATGTTATTTTTTTTGAACGTGTCTTGTTTGAAATTCTCATCAGCAAATGATTTGAATTAGATACTAGTCGCGCCCAGGTCCTACTGTACGAACAATGCTGATCAGTTTGAAATGATGTGGAGTGATTGTATCTCGCGATGCGAATGTTGGTGTTGATGAGTTCTTCGAGCAGATAATTTGAAACGTCTGTGAACAACACTTCCAACTCGGAGAAGTCACCAACATCAACGCTGATCAGTTGTCGGACAATGTGCACAAATATCAAGGGAAATTCTGTCAGTGCAGTGTGTTACTTATATTGTACACTGAGGTGATAATCATATAGTTTAATACATCATTAACCAGTCTGGTGTAGTTTTGAAAAATAAAATAAAATAAATGTGAAGAGCAAATTGAGTGTCATCCCAGGCTGTTGAGCAGACTCTGGGTGATAATTTCAAAATTATTTACTAACCACCTGGAACTAGGTCATGGGAGTTGTAGCCGGGGGCCAGTTAGCAGTTACGCAAGAGGTTGTAACCAGAATCCAACTCGGTGTGTACAGAACAACCTGGCCAAACCGTTCCAACTATGATTGTATGAAAACTGCAAGGGATACAAAGTTTATATTGTGAAATCAGCAGAAATATACCACTCATGTGTTGAGTGGTGGTATCCTCTGTGAGACTGGTTTCTTTCCTGTCCAAATCAGCAAGACACAAACAGCTTTAAGGTTTGATTGATTGCCTCGATTGCATGGTGAACAACTGTCGAGATTCATTAAAATAAAAACAGAGATGTGGCGAACAAGCTTGGTTTCAGTTCTTTATCTACTGGTCAATTAATTGGCGAGATTGAAATCGACGAGGCATCACCATCTACGGGTTAATGCAACTTTTCTTTATTCACAAGCCCCGTTCATCTCACCATGCAACCACGGCCGTTGTTTCATCATCCTTCGAAAGTGTCCCTCAGTATCCTCGTTCAAGTAAATCTCGGTGAAAATTATTGCAGAATCAACGACTGATCAAATTGGTTTCTTTACTACTTACGCAGGTGTTTATATGGCTATCTTACATAAGAATATTACGATTCGGGTTCAAAATCCGCTTCCAGTATGCTCAAGTCTATCTAGCGCTAGCTACTAATTAATTTCCGCTTCATTCGCCATGGATACAACTACTTCCTTCTGTGATTTTTATTCCCCATCCATCTAATTTAACTTATTCGTTGAGACCAGTCTTGTAATTCAATTAAAATTGCTTACGTGATGGCCTGCTCAATCCTGGCCGAGTGCAAATTAAAAAAGAAAACAATAAGCCTGAGACGAACGCTTACCAAAAATCCTTTTTCCAGCTTAATCAGTACAAATATGAAAAGAAAAATCGATTGCTGTCGTTACACTTGTACTAACTAAAAATAAAATGTATTTCACCTTTTCGAGCCTAAAGTGAAACGATCAAGCGACAATATCTTGTATGGTCAACCAAACGTTCAAATCCTAAAGGTAATCAATGTTTTAAACAGTTTGTCCACAGGGAATGACTGCTCTATCTGGCAGCAACAACAATGTACCAGGGCTGAGCAAAAGTTTCCAGAATGCACGAAACGGTGCGGTGCATCCTCTCCTATCATCGCTGGCACAGCAACAAGGTTGTCCGCTGTGGTATGCTCCACCGGTCGACCACACCGTGTCCCATCATCTTGGGACCCCCTGTCAGGTCTGAATTGTACAAACCACTCAAACACAGTGCTTCTTTAAGACAGCTTGCAAATAATAAACACTCTACTGTATCTTTAAATCACATTCCAGTCGTGGAAAAGCCTTACCCTCCATCACGATGAGACTGCACCTTGATGTGGGGTAACAGCTTGCGTGCCTCCATGGTCCAGATCCAATCTTGCCTGAAAGGTCAATGGGTAGAGGCCAGACGAAGCTCAGTCTCACAAGGTGAGCTGATTTGGCACCTCCTGGCTTCCTTCCATCCGTACCCGCTCCTGGAGAAGCCATTCCAACAAATAAACACGGTGAGTGGCAGTTTACCAGTCAAAAAACCCCGCTAGATGGACGTAGCAGCGGGGTACCCGAGGCTTCTTCTCGAACTTCATTGGACAGTACCGCCCGCCCAAGCTGAGCAGCCCCTCCCCCGCCAATAAAGTGCTGCCCCGTCCACGTTACGCTTGTCGCATTGAGTGCGTGAGGCTCAGGGCCGATACCGAAAAGAGGACAAACTATCAAAGCACCAGCGAACAACACACTGAACCGAAACCCGAGGGCCTTGCGTGGCAGGTCTTTAGGAGCTCCCACACGGGTGGATTTACGCCCCACTGCCTTGTGGGTCAAACTTTTGATTCAAAGGCTCCGGTAAGGGTTCCCAAAGAAAACCCCTTCTTCGGTGGTGGCTGCCACGAAGTTTACCGTGCCCTAAAGTCTAAAACACTGGTCTGGAAAAACCTCTTTTCCATCTGTCTAGTTCTTCCTCTCAATCCCGAATATTCCCAAACGCATGTTGTTTACAAGACCCGTCGGATATGGCTCAGTGTTTCACCAGCAAAGCCAAACAATCAGAAGTTACAGGATTTTTGAAGCTGAAATTCCCTTTTCACTTAGCCGCATTCAGTGTTCGCATACTCTATCAGATCAGTCAACAAGCTGCCCTAACCAGAACCCTTGAAATTTTCAGTCTGAATGTTATCTGTCTCCGAAACACGTATACAACACCCTACTTCCATTATCTCCCAGCGTTCTCTTGATCCATTCTGCACGTTACGCTTCAATCTGCGTGTTAGTGTTGTTTTTGCCGGGATTGCGTTAAGTGCTAAGCCTGAGCGCTCGCTTCTTGACTGGATTCCAGTCAGTAACTGACTGTGCGATGTACGTCTCAACGGTTCAGCACGTGTAAACAGCTACAGAATGAAGCGTCGATGCTTGTTCGTCGTATCAGTGTATGCACAGATCGACTGAAGTACACCTGGAATCAAAAATGAATTCTACAAGGACTTTCTCAATTACTCCAAAGTGCTCAATCAACGAACGTCGTAGTAGTTGCCGGGGACTTCATTGCTCAAGTTGGATCCCTGGACGAATCAGAAAGGCTTCGTGGCGGAACACATGCAATCCCAGCCAACCGAGCGGACAACGGAGATCGCCCATCTTGAAATCTGTGCGGACCACGGATTGTTCCTGTCAAGCACGATCTTCTCACATAAGAAACGACACCACCCTACGTGGAAACCGTCAACCTATTCACAGCGCTGGACCCAAATCGACCGCATCGCCATCAGCTGCTGTTGGAGGGAGTTGACTCAAGACTGCCGTCGTGACTGGGTAACAGCTGTGGAAACGGACCACGCTTTGCTACGAGCGAAATTCTCTTCACGCCTGGCAAACAACTGTACAAAAGTAGACGACAACGGATACCCACAAAACAACGTCAGTGATTGTTGCAAATCGGCCTTCGAAGCGGAACTCGCCGATCACCTGTTAGTTCAATCATAAGCCGAGGGACTCAATGAACACTGGAAGCAAATTAAGAAAGTTATGCAAACATCAATAAAAACAACGTCGGACGCTTGTGAAGGCCAAAAAACACAAACGATGGATCTCATCGACCTCGGCTGCCCTGCTGGACACCCGCAGAACCCTGCCTTCGGATGCCACATACGACACAACGCGCAAATCCCTTAAACGCCAGCTCATCAAGAGTCTGAGGAATGACCGCGAGAAGTGGTGGCTCTGTACTCATGGCCGAAGTTGAGTTCGAGATTACAACACGCTCGCGCCCGAGTCCACCACGGAAAGTGGTGTTCGTCAGGGTTGCCCTCTCTGTCCTTTTCTATTTAACTTTGCTAGAGATCTGATTGTGGAAATAGCCCCATGCTCGTGCGAGGACAGTGGCATCGACTTCCTCCCAGGAGACTGGCTGTCTGATCTAGAATATGTAGACGATATTGTGCTACTAAGTGAAGATCCAGGTAAGTTACCAGCTTTCCTTGATAGCTTGAATGCCAGTGTAGACATGATTGGTATGCGTTTTGCACCTTCAATGTGTAAAATGCCGTTACAAGACTGGGTTGGTCCAGCACCCAGCCTCACTCTAACTGGGGAAGTAACAAAGTAAGTGAATAAGTTTTGTCTGGGACATGTGTTACGCATGTTACCAAATAGGTTGCCACGGTGAGCGATGTTTGACGGAGCAGGAAGTTGGTGGAATATAGCCCAGGATGGTCAACCTTAGACCTAGAATTAAGGTATGAAAACCGTATCCAGGAGTTTGGGTCACACAGGCCCTGTTGGGCTCCCTAAATGGGAACCTCGGGATGATCGTACCCAATGGTTAGAGGCACTGAGTGATATGGCTAGTTGTCTTACAGAGTGGCATATTCTCCAGTTCCTTGTAACATTGGTCCATTGAAATTCTCCATTTGCTCTTCGATTCTACTTCAACCTTCCTGTTTTCCTCCTATTGTTCATTCAAATGAGTGGCCAAAAGACAGTAACCAAAAGCGATGCATGGAAATTTATGCTTAATGGTTGCTCCAATTGATAACTGAAACTGATCAACCTGTGGTGTGACATAGACTGAGTTTCCTCCGCACAATCCGAGTCATGCAAATCTTATGGCTTTATGAGCTATTCTCCGCTGTTCCTATTTGGTTCCGTGTGAATTGCAATCATCGAACAATATTCACAATAGAGGATTAGAGTTCCCATTTTCTTTTCCCGGTCACGTGCATCTTTGACTCATCTAATGCGTATCCAGAAACCTCGTATCTCTTCTGTGCATAAATAGCCACATAGTGAATTCAGCATTTCGGCTGTTTGTAGTATGTACACATGTATTTTGTGGTTTGTAGGCCATTGAGTGACTGAGGGCATGATTTGCATGTGATCCGAATGCGGTCAAGCTGGGCAGTCAAATGGTCAACAAATCAATTAAGGCGGACATTTCAATACTTACATCTGATTGGCTAAGGCGAATCGATTGTGTAATGCAGTTAGTACGCCTGGCAGGCTTGCGTACTTGTGCGGCAGAGGGCGTTATTGGCCTATCACTCAATCAGGACTGAGAGGTAAACGTGCCAGTCAATTGTACGCAATAACAAGATCGTATTTGAGAAATAGTAAAAAAGAACAGGGGATTATTGAATCAATAGAAAATAAGTGGAGATACTAATTTCTAACCAGTGACTGCCCAGCCCAATAGCGGGAACGACAGGTAATGAATGAATGAAGCTAATCGACGAATGAACTCAGAAGGTCAACGAAGTCAAAGTCTGCTGATGATTGATGAATTCTAAACAAGATGCATTTAACGGAAGAGTGAACTTTGTCATCAGGAGTTTAGAATGATTAAGTTTAAAGAAATGAATGATTTTCGTTTCAGAGTTGAAGGAAATTGACGAATGCACATCCAAACACAGTTTATGCTTCCTCAGGCGGTTTACACATTATTATTACCCATCGCGTTTTAAAATTTGTCAAGGTTTAAAAAATTATCGCTCAGATTTTCACCTTCCTCATTCATACTGTCTGCAAATTAAATTTCCGTATTCAAGTCGATAGTTTGTTACGTTAGAGGTAGCATTGTGTTCCGTTAGTGTAATCACATTCTAGTTGCCCTTAGAACCTAAGAGATTGAGAAAAGGACAACTGAAATCTATTTCTATTAGCATATGATTCAAGTTAGAGTTTAGAGAGAAAGCTTGTATCAGAAAACTGCAAACTCATAAACAGGACAATTTGCATGTGTCTTGCAGGGGAGGATGAGCTTACAAATTGAAAGAATATGCCAAAAACGCAAACATTCTTAGGCAATACACAAAGCCAATCAACGGGCTATGTGAAATCTACCATATGACAGGATAGAGAGGTCCAGTGATGGTTTCAAATCGCATGTCTATGCATTGAAAACGCATCATATGCTGTGTTGCGTAAAAGCCCGCTTTCCGTCAGCTCTATGCACTATCATCTCCCGATATCACACCATCGGAAACAAGAAAATGCTATTTTGGGGCGCAATTTGACTGGAAAACCAAATTCTAGCAGATTGCACGCATTGATATGGAGTCCCTTCCCTCGTTACAGCTAGCACGTGACTCGTATTTTCTGGTCCACGTGGCACTTTGGATAAATTATCGAAACGTAAGAAACAATCAAGAAATAGACGCAATTAGACTGTGGACTGGGAAGCCTATTTTAGTATTCGATATTGACGGATAACAGTGTTTATCTTCCAAAACGTTTATCTGGGCGAACCATCTGTGAACTGTCCCTATAAGCAATTCTTCACTTCCGTTAGTAATCACGTGATGCCATTAGATTGATAATGATGAGGTAAATGGAGGCTTAGAATGTGAGTTCCGCTTACGTCCCACTGACCTAGATTGGTTATGAATGCCTCTTGTGAAGAGCGTCATTCCAGTCGATGTCTGGGATCAGTCCACATTTGGCTGACTGGTTTATTCGTATCGAGGACCAATGTGCTACCTGTTACGAAATCTGAATTCAGATAAGATTCATTATTTTGATGATTGTTCAATCTCGATCACTGGTATTTTTGGCATTTGATCTTCTTTCATCATTTTTTTAAGTTAATCGATCGATTGATCCGTGCATATCAAAGCTTCGGTGAACGTTAGAGCGTACCGCATCGCCGTAAATCTGGTCAATTCAATTGGCATAAAGAGGTTTGATGAAGAATGCTCTCTCTCTACATTATCTAAACAAATAAAACACTGAACATAACGGTATTTTTCGATTTCTAGAAACACTGGTCTTTTTCAGTAATATAAGCCATTGCTCTCAGTGACTATCTTATATAAAACACCAATAAAGTAACATTATTCTCAATTTACCGATTGGCTAATTGAACCTTTCACCATTCCTCACTTTAGCAAATTGTTGAAAGACAGCTCCAGCCGCTGAATTGGTCTGATTGAGAGATTTTAGTATGAAAAATGAACTCGCACTCTCGATATTTTAAATCCGATCAATTTCTAAATTTGTGCGCTTGATTTACATTTATCACGACGTATTCACACAAATTTCCTGAGGGCTATGAGAAGTAGTTGCTCATATGTCGCTAGCCAGGATATCATGTTTTGCTCAAGATCTACCCCCAACACAGTTGTGCTCCATCTGATTACAACAATATCGAACCCTCAAAGGGGAATTTTATTTCATTATAATGGTTTGCGAGATATAGCATTATTTTATGAAATAATGTCTACTCCTGTTCTCGTAAGACCTACAGGTACTGAGAAACTCGTACAACATCCTGATTTTCATCAAATTTGTTCCTCTCAATGCTTCGTTTTTCCAACCTCATTCACGGAGGATTGAATATGATATTGCCCCATATCAGACGCAACATACCTGATATTATAGCCACCTTTGTCACTGCTTCTATTAGCCACAGGCCATTAAAATGTACAATTTCGCGATTTTGACGATGGTCGCTAGTGCATCAGTTGGAAGATAACAAAG